AAGACTGGAGAGATGTTTCTTTTGTTTATGCAGCAACAATTGTATTTCTTTTAAAAACTACAACCAATCCTGTTAAAAATCAATGTATACATTTTTTTAAACTTGGCTCTGTTTAAGACTCTTTATTTATGTTTTAAATTTTCAAATTGCCAAAAGAATTAATCATTAGACCCAATTAATTGAACTTAAGGATAAAAAAAGAAGTCTACTCACACTATATATAAAGAAAAAAAAAATTGACCTATTTTTTCTTCTATTTTTGTCCGGGCCTAGGGCGGTCGCCCCTCTTGCCCCCAGACCCGGCCCTGGTTATGGTAAAAGTTACGTAGTAAAACATTAATGTAATATCTTACTATCTATATCTTGACCTATCTTATAAAGGCCAGTTTGTGGTATTAAATGTTGATGGTTTGTCATAGTTAGTCTTTAAAGTGTAGTATCATGTGCTATCATAGTGTCTCGTATGAGCTGTCTTTCAAATTACTGACCTCACCGTCCAATTCTACAACTAACGGTGTTAACTTTGAATACTACACTTACTTGTGTTTAATGACACATACTCTATGAATATCATCTACTCCGTATATGTTTATCATTTTTGTTTGATTTTTAAATTTAAATTTTAAATTTTTTAGTGTTTGATTTTTTGTGTCGATTTGTTTTCTTGATTTGAATTCATTTTCCAACCAAAGCATCATACGATTCACACATCTCCGTTCAAGAAGATGTGTCATCTCTTATAATTTTTAATTTTACATTCAGATTTTAACTTTTCACAATTTCAAATACACAATGGGATTTGAAGGTCTTTTTGTCCGGCAATTTCTAAAGTATCATATGCTCTACAAAACTATTTCAACCTTCTTCATAGAGTTGTTTCCATTGGTTAATGAGTTGGATTGCATTTTAAATATTTTTTGCTCGAAGGCTATTTCCCCGTCACTAAAATTTTTGCATTGCTTGTATTTTACAAATGTAAACTTCGACAGAGCATAAATTTAGCTGATTAGCTAATGTAATGTTCCCAAGCTCATTAATGTTATCTCGATTATAATTGAATGGTCTCAACAAGTCATATGAAATGAAATAAAATGCACACTATGAGTTTGATAATATGTAATATATCAAGTTATCTCATTGTAACTACCTTCACATACATTTTTTAGCTAACACACATATCGGTTTTTACTTTTTTTACAGATTTATTTCCGCTTAATCTTTGAATGATCCCCATTATTTTTGATAGCTTAAAAACTAAAAATAGTGAACTCATTTTTTGTGCATGTGTCCCTTTTGTGCATTGTCCCTTTTGTGCATGTGTAAATATATATGATATCCAATCAATTTCTGATAGCTTCAAATTATGTGGAATATGCGATATTTATGCATATGTCCCTTTTGTGCATGTGTAAATAAGGTAGATAGTTCATTTGTTTGATTTTTGATAGATACATTTTACTATATTGTTCGCCTAACACGTATTAATACTCATTTTGTCTACATTTATTCTGCACTTTCCTATATTTTCTCCATCATTTCTTGCTTAGTTTTTAAATGTAGTGCCCCCCTCCTATATTATTTATTCTACCTACTACTCTTTATGTTTTATTATTACATGATGACTACCTTGAGTTTATCTTACATTATTATTAGGAAAAATTGTCAAATAGATTCTTCAACAATTTTCAATCCTTCACTTAATTCGTTTTACGTTTTACTAAAAAAAGTATCATAAAAGTAAATTTACTTTTAAAACACAATCAATCAAGCCTACTTGACCTACTATAGCAGGTTACTTCTAAAAGTATGTTTATTGATAAATCTTATAAAATTCATATAAATTTGAAAAAATGTAAAAATAATTTTAAAAATAGTATAAATGTAAAAATAGATAAATAATTTAAAAACGTTAAATTAAAAGATAAAAACCCCAAAAAACATAAAAATTAAAATGAAAATGTAAATAATACAAAATAAAACATTTACTTCTTATTAAATTAAATAAGAATTGTGTATCCGGCACGATGTATCATCTTTAATATCAATATATTCAAACAATGTTTTACATTATGGAGCATATACAAAATTCAAACTTTCAAAGCAAGTTCAAATTGGGCATATTACATTGAGAAAATTAACACTCATGTGACCAAAACATTGCGTGTTTCCCAAAATATGACTTACATCTTTGTTTTCCTAAAAAGATGCCAAATATCATGCCCGATACAACCGAGTACTATTTCCTTTTAATTATGTCATTCCATATTTCCATACATATTTAGAAATATATTGAGAAACAATCATTCATGGTTGTATTTTGGGAATTGGCACGAGTTTTACTCATATATAGGTATTTTTCCCCATTACATTCGCGCAACGCGTGACCCCTTCTCTAGTGCATCAATGCATGGTGGTTCAGTGGTTGAATAATGCTTAACAATGATGAGTAACAAAATGAATAAGATATGGTAAAAAAAAAAGATCCTATCAATCTCAAACTTTTAAAAAATGTACGCTATAATTAATGCGTGTTTCGGGAGCTTCTATTTCTACGCTTCTAGCTCCGGATTCTATAATTAATTCTATCTCTCTATGTTTTTTTATTTGCTTATTTAGTTATTCGTTTTTATTTTCAAAATTTTTCTAACTTTAAATTAATATGCTAAATGCTAATGGGATGTATAATTAATTTGTCATGTATGAATGTCAAATGGGTTAATTTTTAAATTCTTAAATACTTGTTTATTCTTGCTTGTTTTTTATTTAGTGTTGTCAATATTGCAATCATCAAATTCTCAATTCACAATTAATTAAATAAAATGCTTTCTATTTTATAGAGAAAATTACTTATAAATATAAATATATTGTTAAGGATTCCACTAAATTATGTATTTTTTTTAGTACCATGCCTCACAAATTCTTGTCTTGATTTCATAGAGGAAAATTAAAATCTCGTATTGAATTATTAACTCAAAGTCACACCAGAAACATTAAAAAGTACGTTGTACTTGATTTCGAATAAAAGAACTACTCGAGGAATACATCTCCAACCATGTCTTAAAAAAGGTGGAATAAATTAGCTATGTTATAATTGAGACGAAATTTATTGATAACATAGATTATGCAGACTTGATTAATACATATATATCTAAAAATGTTCGACGAGTTGTACTTAATTAGTTTTTTAATACATTCAATGTCATTTTATTACTCACTCTGCCCCACTATAATTGTCCCATTTTTATTTTCCATCCATCCCACAAATTTGTCACGTACCATATTTGGTAATATTTGTGTGACTCAAATGCAATTTTACTTTATTCTTATGTTATCAACTCATTGCTTGTCAATTACATAATTCCACTCTCTTAAAAACCACATCACTCGCATTCGTTCCAATATTAGGGGGACGGATGTAGTACTTCGTATAATATAAGACTTTAATATAATTAAAGAATGAAATTTTTGTGATATTTAATCATTAAATTTTAATGAATCCATATGACAAAGAAACGCTATGTATATTGACCGAATGAGTTGTATCAAAGTGAACAAAACTCAAACCAAAATCAAATTTATATACCGTATAATTCAGCTTGATTTCGTTAGTAATTAGTATAATTGTATTTCTTTCAAATGGTACTAAACTAAACCGAAATCATGAAAACCCGAATGCAACGAAACCAAACTAAAAAAATTAAATGAAATCTTAATATACTAAAAATAACAATTCCAAACTCAAAAACTATAACCAAAACGGAGTATAATTTTTATTTGATAATTATTCCTCCCGGGGGTGGAGCCAGGGGAGGGCCAACCCTGACCCTGATCCAGTCTAAATTTAAAAAATGTTCATATTCAGGGCCGGTCCTTGGAAAACACGGGCCCTGTGCAAAAATAAAAAGTATGTCTTTTTAAAAATAGGTAGACATATAATGTAAGTGAAGATTATATTTGTAATAATTTGCTACAACAATAATTTGTATCAAAATACAAGTTATTCACTAAAAAAATAGTTGAAACAAAAGTGTTCCTCAACAAAATACACTTCATTTATTTGTTAAACGGAATTATAAACTAACAGACTCATAACCTAATAATCGAAATTGGTGATTTGCTGAGTTCAATTATTAAAAACCATCCAAATATAATTATCTACTCACTAAATCATTCAAACTCAGAATTAAAACCCAAAAAAAAAGAATAATATAAGGATTACAAAATACGTAGTATAAGAAATAAGATAGTGTTTTATCATTCAAAATTATGATATAAAAACGTTAATTGAAAGTGTTTTCACATCAACCCAACAGTTGAGTCGGTTCACCACTGGTATGTGTAAGCAACCCACCCGGGTTCGAAACCTCTTGGCTACATAAGGTTTAGAGATTCATCAGACTTACCTTTTGGGCACATTAAGTAATAATAGGAAGACTTTTAAAATTTTGGGCCCTTCGAATTTACGGGCCCTGTGCGGTTGCACTACTTGCACTTGCCCTGGGCCGGCCCTGTTCATATTTTAAATGTACAAAATTCTGTGTAAAATTTTTTACAAATATATTCATTGTACCGGTCTAGTCCGGTCCAGTGCTCTGGCTCCGCACCTGATTCCTCCAATCTGTTTCAAATCGAACACTGGTAAAAATCAAACCGAAATGGATACACCCACATTCAATTTATCCTTCATGTTCACAGTTGTCAAGTTGCGATTGAGAATTGAGGCTCTGAACGCCTCGGTCGATTGAAATTGAGATTCCACAGGACATAATTGGTCTCGTTCGATCGATCTGCTCCTTTCGAATACATTACTACGTATCATCATTTAATTGTTGGTTCGTTTTAAATTTGTAATAGGAACTCCCGCTAAACCCATTCAAATTCGGTAATACCAAACAACAATATACATAGAATCAAAAAATATCGATCATGACATTCATGTAACATCGGAATACTAAACAAATCTCAAAATATACAGTCAAAGAGACTCATTAGTTGTCTCTTTTATTATTTATCCAACTCAAAACCCACATGCATATATATGCCATTATATACTCTGTATTATTTATGCTTCATTATAATCCACACTGTTTCAGTTATGGCTCTGGCTTCTTCTCGTTACCCTCTCCTTACTATTCCTTCCATTTCTTCTGGAGTTAAGCTACCAATATTCCAACCTTCTGCCACAATCAGGACCATTAATTTACGTGAATTACCTAATACTATTATTTGCCGTGCTACTGCCGCTGCAAACACCAAAGGATCGCTTGCCTTCAATAGGACCCATTTCCGCAAACCCAATCTGCAGTCAAATGGTTTGAATATTTTTCAGTTTGATTTTAATTATCTTATTGTTGTTGTTGTTCTTATAAGAGGGTATAATTGTAATCTGGAGTTTTATTAGAGAATAATTATAAAAAAATGCTTACAAGAGTTGTGTATTTTGATTAAATATGTATTCTTCTGTTGTGTATAACATTAATTTACAAATTAAAAAAATGCAGGTAAAGTTCAAGAGTTTAGTGTTTATGAGATTGATGAGAATGATCGCAACAGCCCTGCCTATCTCCGGCTTATGTTCAATAAAGTCAATTCTCTAGGTGACATCGTCTCCTTCACCAATAAGGTCTGTATTATTTATGCATGAAACCTTTTCGTTTTTATTTCATTTCCATGTTTTTCTTTTCATTTTCTATTCTATTGATCTTTTTATACATTTAGCCAGTGTTCTAAAAGGCGTGAGGTGTGACAAGGCGTCGAGGCCAAGCCTTTGAAGCCTAGGCGTGAATAGGCGAAGCTTAGGCGTGAAAAGGCGTTTTAGATTTTTATTGATAATTAATATTTTAATACTGATATATGAAGAAGAAAATAAATGTCCAAAATATATTATACAAGATTTAGCCTAATTATTATTTTGTTCAATATATGTAATTTTTAAATGTATAAAAAGTGCAAATTCAAAATGATACATTGTTGTTTTTTACTGCTCCATATTAGATTCCATATATATTATGTGGGAAGATTTCTTTCAAATTCTTTTAGTAAAAAATGGGAAAAGAGAATCTACCCCATGCGTCATAATAGTCCGAAAGAAATCTTTGAGATGCTCTAATGAAAGATCACGTCTAGGAGTTTGTTCTCAAGTGTCCTTGATATGAAGCATCTTTTATTAACATTATTATAAAAGTACTTTATTTTTAAATTGAATCAGTTTTTTATTTGCAAAAAATATTTCATATAAAAAACTTTCGCCTTTCCACGCTTAAGCACGCTTAGGCTTTGCCTTTTCACGCCTTTGGTGGTCAACTTTTGAGTTGACCGCATTTTACACGCCTTTCCACAATGCGAGGCGTTTTTCCGCCGCCTCACGCCTAGGCACGCCTAGACCCAGCCTTTTGCCGCCTTTTAGAACACTGCATTTAGCTCACTATGGTTTGGTGTACTATACATTGTATTCCTCGGACTTTATGCTTTTATTTATTTCTTTAATTTAATTAGACAATCATTGTAAAGTATGCAATTTGCAAAGTACTTCAACATTTTTAATTCTTGATATATTTAAATAACATTGTCCCATGGGTTGTGTAGTTGTACAGCGGTGACATGCAAACGCGGTTGGGAATCACAAATGGTATATGCTTTGTGATCTCTCACAATGAGGAAAATAACGGAGACCGTTACGAGGCCGTTTTCAGTTTCTATTTCGGAGATTACGGCCAAATTTCCGTACAGGGGCCGTACCTTACGTATGAGGACAGCTTCCTCGCTGTCACTGGTGGCTCCGGTAAATTCCATGGTGTGACGGGCAAAGTGAAAGTAGAGCAGCTTGCTTTCCCTACCAAGAGATTTTACACTTTCTATTTGAAGGGGGTTGCGGATTTGCCATCAGAGCTTTGCTGCACCGCTCTTCCGCCATTCTCCACCGTGGAACCAACTCCGGCTGCCATTGCTTGTGAGCATGGGTCCACCGTCCCTAATTTCACCGATTAAGTGTTCTATAGATAAATATGAGAGATGCTGAAATATTTGCAGTATAATGACAAATGATCTCATATTCTCATGTTATGTCTTTTATAGCTTTTGTCATTGGTAGTTTGGAACCAATTGTACGCACGATTGGTCGGAAGCAAAGTCGTCACAATAACATACTACCTCCGTCCCTTAAAACTTTAACAAAGTTGACCGGCACGAAAAATAATAAAGTAAAAACTGTGTGGTTTAGGTTTGTGCAGAGGAGAGAGAAATAACAAAAACCACAAAATAATTGATTAAAAGAGAAAATGATAAAAATTTTTGAGATGTCCAAAAAAGAAAGATGGTAAAATTTTAAGAGAAGAAGGGAGTATTATCGTGCTAGGAAAGAAGTCATATGAGTGACTGAGAGTCCATTGGGACTTGGTGACAATTTTAATTGAACCTTAGCTTGGTGGCCAGAGAGAAAACTAGGAAAGGTGCGGAAAACTAATAATGCTGATAAATAAAATGATAAGACAACCAAGCAACCGCTAGATCTCAAGTTCGCATCTAATCAGATTAGCTAAATTATCTCAAAATGATTGTCATTTCAACAAACGAACAAACAAACTTGGCCATTCTTTTATCATGAAAATAGTTGGTTGTAGACTGTTACTTGGATAAAAATCCACCAGCAAACGAATTTAATCATGCTTCAAGAGTTCAAGTACCCAAAGTCCAAACGGCCATACCGCACAGACATTGCATATATCGTTCGTTCATAACATGGTAATGTTTGTAAATTGTGAGAAATGGAAAAGAAATATGCATTGAGTTACTGTTGCCCCTCAGCTGATTCCCGCTTTGAACCTTCCTTGATCTCATCTCCAGCATCCTCCTGAAATAACCATGGCCCACCCATACTTATTTAGTTACTATGCTATTTGAGGTGGAATTAAAAATTGTTAGCCAATCAGCCATCACAATGACGACTTAGCCGACAGACTAAGAGAATGAATGAATAACATTAAATTTTCACATTCTAAGAATCGGAAACTGTTATTTGGAAAAATGATTAACTCAATAGTTACTTGACACTAACTCTGTAGTATGAAAGAAATAATGATTCTACAGAATGTTATAGTGATTATGATTTCTGAAAGTAAAACTGAAAACTAATATACACAACTTTAAAAAGATGAATTTTTTAATGTTCCGTTGATGAAAACAGCAGAATCAGATTAAAAGAAGCTCGATGCGAATCAGTTTCTGTGGCAAAAGATTGTTTTGGAGTTTGGACTAGTGATTTTTGTTTTAGCTGTGTGGGGACTGGGAATTAGTTACTTGAAAAACAAAAAGGCCTGTACGGTGAAAGCATAAAAAAGTGAAAAGAGAACTCACAAATCTCGCAAAAGCACACAAAAAAAGCACAAAAACACAAAGATGGGGGAGGGGGAAGAAAGAAAGAGGAATGGAGAGAGTGAGAGAGACCGCGGCATCAGAAGTCCACAGTGTCAGATTATCTCGAAGAAGTTGCATGATCAATGTACTGTCTTTGTAAGATTCTTCACCCAGTGTATCAAGCTCCGAGATAGCTTCATCAAAGGCCTGCAAGAAACAACAAGTCAACAAATGCTTCAAGTTTTCATACATGCATGCACACATATGTAAAAATGTCATTCACCCATCTGATGTTGGAAACTTTGATATTTCCATGCAAGTGCACGAATCAAGTGCTTGGATTCCACTTTTTATATTGGATTTCTAAAAGTATGTTTGATTTTTTGAAAGCTGCTTTTTTTACTTTTTACAGTTGCTTCCTGAAAATTCCAAAAGATTCTTTTAACATAATCTAATTTCGGTTGCTTCTTACTTTCTTAAGACAGTAACATTTACTTCTGTTGTACTACTTCCTGTTGCATTTCATTCTTAAGGCCACATATTCAAGAGTTTATTGTACCAAAACACAAATTCCATGACAACAATTTCCCCAGAAAACTCGGTGTTAAAAATTTGGCAAATTAATTCGTGATGATGAACAGATGCCAAAAGGAGATCCATTGATAACATTTTATTGTATGACCACTTCTCAAATACTACCATTTTGATAATAGAATATTAGTTCGCTTAAACAATATCTTAACTCCTTCACAACAATGCATAAAACTAGAAATAATAAAGAAGCAATGGTAGCTGTCTATCTGATACTCTCTCTGGCCAATAAAAAAATACCACGATATCTTAACTTGGTTGGAGCACTTCTTTTGGAAATATTACATTAATTCCATCATCATCATCATTACCCCGGTGCCACAAAGGCTCCTACCTATGGTAGGGTAAGGGAGGGTCGGATGTACGCAGTCTTATCCCTGTACTAAAGCACAAAGAGACTGTTTCCGGATGACTCATAGTGAAAATCGCTTCCAAAATTGCATGGACTAACGGCTACTTCATAACAAAGAAGCGTAAACAGTTTAGTGAGCCATTTTACTTTATTCCATCATATTCTTAAGCCAAAAAATAGTGAATCTTTGGCTCCATTACAAATGATGAAAATAAATATTAGATTAATTCCAATGAAATATTAATGTCCTCTTTTGAAATAGGAGTTTTCCTATGTTTTAAACGGGATTGTTTTTAGCACAAAAACAAGTTTTTAAGGGACTTTTATTATGCATGGAGGAAAACTCTTTCACACAATATGCACCCTATAATTTGACTCCATTCTCTGTTTACCACTGAATAAATACAATATACATGCAATAAAGCCAAAGTACTATATGTCAGAAGGTAAACTGAGCATCAAAACTATGATGACAGCAAGTAGCACTTCTGGGAGGAGAGAAGCTAATATACCTGTTTTGCAAGGCTACAAGCACGATCAGGTGAGTTGAGGATTTCGTAATAGAACACAGAGAAGTTAAGGGCAAGTCCCAATCTAATGGGGTGAGTTGAAGCCAGTTCACCCAATGCAATATCCTGCACCACCCAAAATAAAAGTGTCTGTGAAGATCAATCCGCACATACTCATTTATGGTTCGTTTGGAACTCATAATAGAGGAAACTGGGATAGAAAGAAAATGTGAGAGTATAAAAAATTGCTTCAAACAATCAAACTAAATATATGTATTTTAGATATATGTTCAAACTCATTCTGGTCATTACACAACACCAATCATGTATTGTAGATGACAATAGTAAATATCTCAACACATTGTCATCTCATGATACTTTTCGTGGAAATAACCTATGATGATAACGGTCTTAGAATTTTCATCTCACTATTCCCTCTGATAAAGATTGCCAAGGAAAGGACTCCAAAGTAATAAAATTACGTATATGCTTTATGCTTTTGACATGAACTTATAGCGTTTTAGTTAATTTTATAGAATTAATTCAACTACAAATTTACTGCCACTGACCCCAAGTTCCAACTAGTATACCTACATGTTCTATTATACTTCCTCCGTCCCCCAATTAAGTTACGTGTTTGACTTCACACATATTAAGAAAATAAATTTACTGGGGGTAAATTGTACTGTTTTGACACTATTTTGCACTGTTTGGACACTGTTTGGACACTGTTTTGCACTGTTTGACACTGTTTTGATGTAGATAATTTGCCAAATAAGGAAGGTAAGGAAGTGTGAACTTAATTTAGGGACAGCCACAAAATGGAAAGTGGTAACTTAATTATGGGATGGAGGGAGTATAAAGTAAGAAAATAAATAAAAAACATTAATGAAATGTGGTTGTCTTCAAACTTTCTAAGATAAAGCATCATGATTACCCCAGTGCCGCAAAGGCTCCCACCTGCGGTGGGTTTCCGACTTCCGAGACAAAGCCAAACATAAAAAAATCCTTAATGGTTTCCCCCTTTCTATACCAGCTTTTGGGTAAAAAAAAGCCTTAATCTCAATAGAATAAAGTGAATCAAGAAAAAAAGCCAACCTGAGCAGACTTATACGACAACAAAGTGCTCTCAGCCGCTTCTTTCCTCTCAGCCCCAGTCTTAAACTCGGCAAGGTACCTATAGTAATCACCTTTCATCTTCAAGTAAAAAACCTTACTTTCAGCAGAAGAAGCTGCAGGAATCAAGTGGGACTCAAGGAGGTTTAAAATTCCATCACATATCTTGCTTAGCTCAGTCTCAATGATGCCTCTATATTCTTTAATAGTTTTGACAAGGTCCTCATGTCCACGGCTCTCTTCCTTTTGCTCAATAGAAGAGATAATCCTCCATGAGGCCCTCCTTGCACCAATCACGTTCTTGTAAGCCACTGAAAGAAGGTTCCTTTCCTCCACAGTTAGTTCATCCACATCCACGGTTTTGGCAACCTTCTCCATGAACTCAACCATTTCCTCGTACCTCTCAGCCTGCTCGGCCAATTTTGCCATGTAGACATTCTCTTCGCGAGATAGTTCAGTTGACACCATCTTTGCTGTATTTGTTTAATGCCAAATTCTGCATCAGCACACCAAACATGAAAACATACACCATGCCTTCATGTTCAATCTATGATTAAAAGGCCATAATATTCTGATTGTATATGTTAAACTCATGGAGAAAATAGTTAGCCTTGTTGAATTTTAGTTTCACAAGAAAAAAACTAAAAAGAAACAGAAAATCATTATGGAAATCTATTATCATACAGCAGAATCATTTAAACCCTTTATTATGGGGAGGTTGATTAAACGCTTTGACTCTCTGAGTGCTACTTAAAATAAAACGGTAGGCTAAGTGTTTAGCATAGCTAAATCATCCAAAAGAGAATCTAAAAACAAAAATTGTACCTTATTGGTTGAGCCTATATTGTGTTGTTACTAAAAACAAACACAATGACCACTTACCACCGGTAAATCAAAGTACATTTTTCAAACAAACACCCATC